TGAGGCTGTATTACGTCGATTCTGGCACCCAACATCACAACAAGATGATATTTTAAGCTCCTTATGTAGCCGAATCTGCGCTGGTTTGAATGGGCCGCCTCCAGTTTCCTCTTTGTTTTGCTGCCTCCACCTAGCGCTGTGACGTCGGCTGACCCTAGTTACCTGTGATTGGCCTGGCCATGCGTCACTCAGAAAACAACAGGCCAATCAGAAGAGAGGCTCATGAATATTAATTAGACAGGCCAAAATCTCCAAGTAGATATAACTGCAAACTCCAAAAGTGGGCAGAACCTCCAAAATGGGGCGGGGTCTCCACACGCAAAGACTTTCAGCATTGGCTCTGGCTCCAGCCAATTGTTATTGACTTACATTTCAAAATAAAACTATAAATTAAACATTGTTTGCAGTTCATCTAAAATAAAATATGCTATGTAAATAAATATTCTCTGTGAGAGCAGAGCCCAAAGCTTGTGGCCAGTGGTGTTTGGACTGGAGTTTGAAACTCTGCGTAATGATATAAACGGGAATCACCCGCAAGCCGTCCCAGTGCAGCGCAGGGGAAAGATTTTACTCTATCGCTTTGTTCTAAGCAGCGGGGGCGTTCCGGGGCTCGAAATTCGTAGGGTAGGATGGGGTAGTGATGCTGGGTGTAACTAAAAAGGTGCCATTTTCCGGTGAGGTCCGGTTGGGGAGTTACGGAACGATCTCATATCGCATAATCGTATCAACTGTTTATCTCCTGAAATGCATCTTTCTTTACCACGCTATTCAGCGCCAATCCCGCCGTGCAGTCAATTTCGCTGGTTAAGGTTAGGGTCAGGTGTGGGGTAGGTTTATGGGTTAGCATTTTTGTTGCATAGTGTAGGAAATAAACACTTTAATTGACATAACCAATAAAATCTTTAGAATCAGCTGTGGGGCGGAGTTTGCACTGAAGTGGATTGGGGGGGAAAGTGCACATGCGTGTCATGTGCCTGTCTGTCAATGGAAGGAAGCCACGCCCTATTTTGGAGCTCCCACCCCGTTTGGAGATCTCCAGGCTGCAGTTATACCCTTCTCCAAAATCGACCTGTTCTCAGCAGAGCTCCTGAGAAAGGAGCTGTAAAAATATATTGAGATGGTTTTTGGTACTTATACTGCAAATATATATTCTTAAGAACATCAAAACCTAAAATAAAACTCCAGAAAGGTGTCAAATAGGGGACCTTTAAACTAGACGCCACAAAAAAATCCTCGACAAGCTTGCCTGTGACCTGTATATGACTACCCTCTAGTGGAATGTTGCGGTATTACAATGAAACAGTCATTCATGCTTTCACAGGGTTTGACATTTATTGGAATTATAACTCCGCAATACTTCACATTCCTCCATGTCCCTTAGTAAATAAGAAATAAATACATTAAAGATGTAAGCACAAGGCATGGATGACAGTTAATGTTAAAAAAACAAAAAAAAAAACCGTCAAAGAAACCACATTATGTAGAACTTTATATTTCATACATAGGATGAAAAAAAAAAGTCAGGTTACCCAAAATAAGAAAAGTCACAAGGTTTCTCCCCATAACTTGGCATTAATGTAGAACACTAAAACATGCTGTATTTTCAACCAACCTTGGCTGAAATGAAGCCACACTCCATGCTGAAGCGCTGAAAAACATTCAAACATAAAATATTAAGAACCAGAAGCTCACATTTTGTACAGCACTGCATCCCTTGTGTGCAAATCCTACGCCAAACTAGAGTAAGGAGCTGGAAGAATTCAACTGAGGGTCTAGAAATGATGGAAAAAGTTCTAACATTATTTCTTATTTAAGTACCCGCAGATTTCTTTCAGCGAATGATTAAAATCACATAATAATAAATATTATAATATCCATCTTTACATTATAATATCGTGATGCCATATATTTAAGCTTTTGAAAGCATTAATTTTATTTCTATTATGTTTGATTTACATTTTTGAGAATGAATAAAAATGTAAAAGTGAGAAAAAATATTTTTTATTCACTTTTTAAAATTATATTATTTCTCTAAACATGTAAATAAAACAATAATATTTATAAAATACTAATTAAATATAATTTAATTTAAAAAATAATAATTGTAGCCATTTATCAATTATCAGTCATGATGACATGGCTATATAATAATTTATTGGCTAAAATCCTAAGCTTCCAAGTTCAGGAAATGTGTGCAACCATAATATAATAAATTTGAGCTTCACAATTTGCCACATTTACCAACTCTAATCACTGTGTACAAAATGACTGGAATGATCAAATCATCCCTGTGAGAACATGGAGGATGAGGACGCAGAGATGCAGTTCTTGCGTGATGTAATCGAATCACAGCGGCATTACTGTCTAAGAGGAAGCTGCTATTGCCTCCACAGCTCATACTGCAGGGGAATGCTTCCTCTGCTCTTCCAGTAAGTGCTAAGTGCAGCTGAAGAGTAATGGGGCAAGATCCATTAACTGCTGAGAGAGATGTCTGTGCATGGAGGCAAATATCATGCAGTTAATTTCAACACACTTACTTTTGCAGGCATGCTCCCGGTCTTCTCGGAGTGGGTAGGCCCTTGTAGACTCATGGCCTTGTCCTTACGCCTGCGCTTGCTCAGCTCCCTTTGCTCCTTCTGTCTGTTTTGGACCTCCATCAGAGCTGTGATGAAGGTGTTCTTCACCTCCTTCTCAAACTCCAGCTCGTCCCTCCGGGCCAGCTGGGCCACCAGCTCCTCCGAATACTCTCGTATCGCCGCCTCCATCCGGCACAAGATGTCAAGCAGCGCCGAGCTTGGCATCAGCCTCAGACCTGCATGACAAGCATTGGGTTTAATAAGACTTGATCAAAGCGAGCAAGCTGTACTCTCATGTAGTGCTGCAGTCATTTACTCAGAGGAAATAAAATGACTTTTTCAATTATAAGGAGAAAGATATTTCAAGATGTTTCAAGAAAATATATTTCAAGACATTTTCTGATGGCCAATGCATCAGTGATAACTTCTTTGCAACTTAAATCAGCTCCATTAATATAATATCATTAATATCATTAATAAAGTACCTTTAACAATAGATCATATTTATCGATATCAACAGTAATAATATTAATATCAGAAGTAATCTAAATCATTTTATGATAAAATTCACAATTATAATATTAAATTACTATAAATAATGTAATATAAATATCAATGCATTGGTAAAAATGATGTTGTCCCTAACATGTAATTTTTAGCAAATGGTACAATATGACCGTTTCTAGGCAAAAATGCATCTTGTTATATTCTGATCCACCCAAAACAAATGCTTTACATTCTATTCAGGTCAAGATGACTTCCACAAGAATTAATTCGTCATTGAAATGAACAAGTTCAGTTTGAGAGTTATTATACAGTAACATCCACTCTTTATTTCCTGCATTTTCGACCTGTGATCTGACAGTTCCCATGAATGAGCTCGAAAGGCTTTATCAATCAGGCTTAACGTCAAGCTAAAAGACTGCAGGATAAAAATCCATTTAAAACAGGCTTGCTTAAACGTTTACCCCAACATTACATTAGTCAGCAAAGTTCCATTCCACTAATACACTCTATTACCCTAGTGTGTATGTGTCTGCCTGTAGTGTACTATGTCAGAATTAAGGGAATGACCTTTTGTCACTTCCTGGTTTTTGGCTACCGATTGATTTGTTTGTCCACCACCCATAATTCTGTGCCTATGGCCAAAACCCATTCAAAAAAACTTCCAATGACCAAAGCAAAGAGGCAATCCAATGTTACATTGATAAACTGCTGCCCCTTATTCACACTTCCTGAGGAAGGGGGTGGAATTGAGCAAGAGTTTAAATAGCATATTGACCTTAAATAAATCAATGGAACAAATGGTGGCGATGGAATAAAACACTTTTGCCATGGGACCTCCGCTGAGAGTGACATCAACTAAATGTGTATGACATTCATATTTATCACAGTGATAAAAAATGCAAGAGATATTTCTCAAACGCACTGCTAAATCTGGATCACAGCATCTGGATCTATTTTTTTCTAGAAATATGTACAGAACGAAATGAAAAAAGAAAGGGATGGATGCAAAACGGATGGAGATCAAGGTTACCCCATTTCCCAGTGGGAATAATGTGAAAACAATGGCGGGATGGAGACGGAGTGATGGAGGAGAGAGAGGGAGGAACAAATTACCTGCAGAAGAATCTCTCCGTGTGTATCTGGGTAGAAACAGCTCCTCCTATTCCAATATAGTCAGAGAGAAACCACCATCAGCAAATCTTGATCAGGATGAAACGACAGCAGACACAATCATTCCCATCACACACACAGAATCTCCGTGTCGTGATGGCCACTGTTCTAGTCCACGGCGTCTTGTCTAAGCCAGTCAAGGCTCAGAGTGTTGTTTTCTGAGCATTAAGCAGCAGCCGTCCTCTCCTGTTCCACGGAGCCTGCGCATTCTGACGCAATCATCCTCCTCGGCAACCCTCCCCCTTCTGCTCCTCTCCTCATGCACCTCACTCTCTCCGCCCCCTACCCCCTCCTGCTCCCTTTCTCTCAGTCTGCCATAAGCCAAATCCCTCCATATTCATGAGGAAGGACAAAAAAACAGTGTGAGGTAATGGAGAGAAGCTGTATTGGGGCTTTATTCACACCTTGAACTCGCTTGTCATCGGCCACATCAGGGGTCTCTTGGCAGGATCCCCTTCTCATTACCCCTCAAAGCACGCTCGAGGGATTTTCATTGAGGAAGCCGTGCTAACAACATGTACGCTGGCTGCTTACTGTCAGTCATTACTATTGAAATGAAAGCTATAAATCTGGCAAGATTACAGTGTTTTAATAATGTTGCAGGGTCATATAGAGTAATAGTAAGTCTGAGACCACTAGTGAGAATGCTTCTATATAAATGGTACAATATGACCGTTTCTAGGCAAAAATGCATCTTGTTATATTCTGATCCACCCAAAACAAATGCTTTACATTCTATTCAGGTCAAGATGACTTCCACAAAAATTCATTCGTCATTGAAATGAACAAGTTCAGTTTGAGAGTTATTATACAGTAACATCCACTCTTTATTTCCTGCATTTTCGACCTGTGATCTGACAGTTCCCATGAATGAGCTCGAAAGGCTTTATCAATCAGGCTTAACGTCAAGCTAAAAGACTGCAGGATAAAAATCCATTTAAAACAGGCTTGCTTAAACGTTTACCCCAACATTACATTAGTCAGCAAAGTTCCATTCCACTAATACACTCTATTACCCTAGTGTGTATGTGTCTGCCTGTAGTGTACTATGTCAGAATTAAGGGAATTCTCATTACCCCTCAAAGCACGCTTGAGGGATTTTCATTGAGGAAGCCGTGCTAACAACATGTACGCTGGCTGCTTACTGTCAGTCATTACTATTGAAATGAAAGCTATAAATCTGGCAAGATTACAGTGTTTTAATAATGTTGCAGGGTCATATAGAGTAATAGTAAGTCTGAGACCACTAGTGAGAATGCTTCTATATTGTTTTTTTATAATAATTTAATAAAACAATTACAAATTGTAGTATTAGTATAACAATTTAATGAAAAGTTGAAATTAACATTGTCAAATTTCCCAAATGTGGTTATTTGATTAGTGACCTATAGAACGTGCAGAATTGTAAATGTTTTATTGGGTTTTAAGTCGACATTTCTTTGTTTAAATAACAGTTATATGATTTACATATTATAATATAAGTTATTGGCTGATTGTTTTTTGTGCAATTAACTGCATTTAAATGCTAATTTTTCCTAATTTTACATACCTCTGCCATCATCTACCACTAATTTAATGTTAATCTTTAAAAACACTGGTAACACTTTACAATAAGGTTTCATTTGTTTACATGAATTAATTACCCCTCAAAGCACGCTCGAGGGATTTTCATTGAGGAAGCCGTGCTAACAACATGTACGCTGGCTGCTTACTGTCAGTCATTACTATTGAAATGAAAGCTATAAATCTGGCAAGATTACAGTGTTTTAATAATGTTGCAGGGTCATATAGAGTAATAGTAAGTCTGAGACCACTAGTGAGAATGCTTCTATATTGTTTTTTTTATAATAATTTAATAAAACAATTACAAATTGTAGTATTAGTATAACAATTTAATGAAAAGTTGAAATTAACATTGTCAAATTTCCCAAATGTGGTTATTTGATTAGTGACCTATAGAACGTGCAGAATTGTAAATGTTTTATTGGGTTTTAAGTCGACATTTCTTTGTTTAAATAACAGTTATATGATTTACATATTATAATATAAGTTATTGGCTGATTGTTTTTTGTGCAATTAACTGCATTTAAATGCTAATTTTTCCTAATTTTACATACCTCTGCCATCATCTACCACTAATTTAATGTTAATCTTTAAAAACACTGGTAACACTTTACAATAAGGTTTCATTTGTTTACATGAATTAACTATATTAGTTAACTTGATCTTAGTTAATATTAAGTACAAAATGTACTAATACATTACTAAAATGTAAAGTTGTATCTGATAACATTAGTTAATGTACTGTGAATTAACATGAACATGAACATTTGTATTAACTAATATTAACAAAGATTAATAAATGCTGTAACAA